CCCCAAAACCCCAAAACCCCGGCCACAAGAATTAATAAGTTTAAAAAAGCAAATGAAATAAAATAAAAATGAAAATATTGAAGGATCTGTGATAGGTTTGAATTTCTGATAATATTCGGGTAGTAATCAGATTTTAAAAGCTAGAATTCTTGATTTTGGGCGTATTTAATGCTCTGGCATGAATAATTAATCATATATATTTAAAAACAACATACAAACTCAAATCTACTTTAAGACTTAGTTACCAAGTTACACATAAAATGGGAAACAACACTTTTAACTCTATTAAAGAGACTGGTAGCAACGGTCTTGGGTAGATAAGCGATATTGAGGACTTAATCACCAAGAACTGCTTTGAGAAGCAGTACGTAGTAGGAAAGGGCGGCTTCGGCAAAGTGTGGAAAGTGCAATCTAAGAAGTTCAGCAACCAAGCTTACGCACTCAAAGAGATGCAGAAGTCTAGAATAATTGCCCGCAAGAGTCTTAACTCAGTCCTACTTGAAAGAACACTCTTATCTTAACTTAATCATCCGTAAGTCATATTACCTAATATAACATATTGAATATAGATTTATCATAAACATGCGCGGAGCATTCTAGGATCGCGAGACATTATATTTGGTTATGGACTACTGCAGTGGAGGTGATCTACGTTATCATCTCCCCTACAAGTACTTCAACGAAGAGGAGACCAGATTCATGGTCGCTTGCATGATCCTCGCAACCGAGTATGTTCACACATAAGGTATCATCCACAGAGACATTAAACCAGAAAACTTAGTATTTGATGAAAGGGGATACCTCATGCTCACAGACTTCGGTATCAGCAGGCAATTGCCTATGACCTAAGTCGATGAGAAAGGTCTATCAGAGTCAAGTGCATTTGAGAACATGCTCTGCGGTGTCATTGACACAAGTGGCACCCCAGGCTACATGTCTCCAGAAGCCATGTGCAAACTCCCACATGGTCCAGTTTCAGATTTCTTTGCCATTGGGATTATTGTTTATGAAATGATGTACAGAAAGAGACCCTACAGTGGTCCTAACAAACAAGCAATCAGAGACACAATCCTTGCCAAGCAAGTATAAATTAGAGCACATGAGATCCCTACTAACTGGTCAATTGAGGCAGCGGACTTCTGCAACAAGCTTATCAGAAGAAAGCCTTCCAGCAGAATTGGTTTCAATCACGGAATTAGTGAACTCAAACAGCACCCATGGTTTTCTGGCTTCGACTGGAACGCACTTCTAAACAAGAAAATGAGAGCTCCCTGGGTTCCACCAAGAGGTGACAACTACAAGGGAAAGAATACTGAGTTCCCTGCCACTGAGGAAAAGGACATCGCCTTTATCGAGGCAGAGAGACTCGTAAGAAGGGATACTGTCTAAAAGCTTTTTGAGGGATTTTACTCTGATCTCCAAATTCCTTCACAATTTATTGATGAATAAGCAGAAAAAACCGTTGTGGTGAAAAACAGATTGTCATTGTAAAATGTTAAAGACACCTAAGGGCTACTCAAGAAGAGCAGAAACATTATCTCCCACTTTAGTAAGCTCAGCCCTAAAAATAATAACAACAACAAGGTCAACAAAGTAAATATAATGGAAGTAAGAGACAAAAACTTCAAGATTATGCAACAAATTAATCACTAATACCAGTGCCAGAACTCCAATGGTTCAACTGGTATCAGTAGCCAAAAATCTTCAATTTGCTCTTCTGGAATGAAAAATTCCGCCTTGCCAAAGATTGGATCTCCCAAGATGCCACCTAAAATCTGAACCCCCATATGAGTTTACCAACTCATGATCAATTGCGCTGATAACTGTGACAACTATTGCACAACTAGTATTGTTCTATATTGTAATTTATTGTTTTATTGCTTCTTATAGTAGTATAGTAATTTATAATAACACCTTAACATCTAAATATTTTTCATCAAGTCATTATTCTAATCTGTTAAAATCTATCAAGATTAATGGGGTTTTGGGGTTTTGGGGTACTCT